ATGTTACGGAACTTGCCAACGGTTGGGTCGATGTCCTCTGGAGAGACAGAGAGAGAAAAAGAGAGTCACATTCAAGTTTTTCAATCAAGTTTAAGCAACACATGGTGTATAATTGCATAAACATGTCCTTAGGTGTCCCTATCTTGCCTCCCTTCCTTTTAATACCATCCCTATATTCCCCCTTCTTTAAAAATAGGGATTTGCTTGTCTCCTCACCACGTCCCTTATTAGGGAGTTCACTGCACCATTCAAAGAACACAGTGAGGCTGGTCTAGCATGATGTATAATAACAGGGTTCTGCCTACGATGGTCGGCGGTGGTCGCATGTATAAGCCCGACCACCGCTGAAAGTCTCCCGACCACTCCTAAATAAAAGGCGGGGCTGGTGCCTTCCGCCCGTATAGTACGCATCTAAGAGCGATGAATGAATATCTGCAATGGAAACGTGGCCTCCCTGCGGCTCTAAGATGACACTTGGCTTTCTAACACACGAAGAACGAATCTGGGCTTCGTCTGCGCGCCTACACTAAGTATAAACATGCAAACAAAAAGGCACGCGCGAACGCGAAAAAACCACGCGTACGCGACGCGTTAATTCCGCGCATGCGCATTTACGCGCGCATTATTTCTAGGACTGTTTTCCTGAAGGCCACCACTAAAATAATCCTGGGCAGAACCCTGAATAATATACCAATAAACGTAATATTAGACACACACACACACACAGTATATATACCGGGATTGATAATCTCTTCGTTGTCAGAGAAGGTGACAGAGTTAGGTCTGTACTTTCTTCTGGAGATCTTGTCTCCTCCAGCCTCCACTATACCCACCATTGATATCTGTCTGTTGTGGGCTGTGTTGTACTGAGTCAGGTCCTGAGAGGAGAGAGAGAGAGAGAGAGAGAGAAATGAGAGGTGAAAGGAGGGAGGAGATACAAGAAAGGTGAGGGATGGATTACACAAGAAATATTGACGACAAAGTGCAAATTGTCCAATACGTTTTCATTCACATAACATTCACATAAAGATGTTCCTCTAAAACAAACTGCGTATTAATTGAGTATATTTCACCCCAGATGGGCAAAAATTGCCACCATATTCTGTCCCGACCGAAATTTTGAATTTCTTAGACAAAGTGAGAGTCAACTCACGTCAACATCAGTGTCTAGTTCAGGCAGGCCAAGGAGGGTGCCTCCCTCCCCTTCCCCTCCTCCCCCCTCCTCCCCCATCACCATGGTAACCGTCTGAGGCCTCTCCCTGCAACGGGTCAACTTACAATGAGACAGTGGGTGAAGAGAACAGGCCGTGTGCATCCTAACTCGTGTGTATAGCTACACGCCCCAGCCCAGAACATTTCTATTAGATTTAGCCCTTATGTACAGTTCACTATGACAACTAGCGAAGTAAAAGTAACACAGACTTTGCAACTATACCACACAAACAACTGATAAAGAGATGAGAATAATTCGTGGCAATGATGGATATGCAGTGGGGATATTTCCAGCCGCCCCTGTCGTCATCTCACTAATTACCTGAGAGTGTACGTCCTCGTTGAGGCTCCGAATGAGAGAGTAGTATCAATTGGTATCTGAGTTGGTTTGTTGGCCTCCAATCTCATGGTACCAACAAACGTCCCGTGAGCTAGTGAGAATGCATCACAACAGTTCAGTGGACACTAGGGGGACACCAATAGGACAGAAGAAAGTGTCCATAGTGAGGTGTCCTTATTTCAGGGGTTGAAAACATGTGCATGGCATATATATATATATGAGAATGCATCACAACAGTACACCAATGGGACAGAAGAAGTGTCCATGATAGTGAGGTGTCCTGGTTTAATTTCGTGAAAAAACATGTCATATACACTAGCTCAGAGAGAAGTAAGTAAACCCCAACAAAACAAACCAGATATACAACTGTAATAATGACAGCAATTTCACCTAATGCATAATTCATGAGCCACAATCCAATTTCTCTCTAATACCAACTATACATAAAAAGCCTGTTACACACAAGTGGGAAAAGGTCGGGAACGAGACAACACAATAGTCAGATTTTTGGCAATCTACTCAGGTGATGCATCATGTGACGGTCACATGACTACTCACTGCTGCCGAGGTCGATGAGAAAAGGTCTGTGGAGGTGTTTGTGGTAGACGAGAGCTGCGTGTTGCCGGGAGCAACTCTGGTGAGGGAGGGGGAAGTCACACACATCTTTGGCTCTGCCGAACATGTAGCATGGCTTCTCGTCTATTAGCAACTTCTGTGGTAGAGAGGGAGAGAGAGAGAGAGCATTTAAAAAGGGACACTTTTAATGACCCCAAAGTGTCCCTCATTTCACTCTAAGCTGAAGCTGATATATAGTTACAAGCAAGATCAGGTATACCTGCAAAACGCTGCCGTTTTTCACCACATCGAGATGCAGCCCTGCTGTCGGCTTCCCGGCCCTACAGACACACAGACAGAGGGACGAATTACAAGCTGAGTAAACAGCTGGTGCAGGAGAAAGGTCAGGCTGAGAGGGTTCACTTACCATGATGGGACCTTGAAGCTCTGGTCGTCACCTGACATTCACGTGATCGATCACCCAGCCTTTTCCCTCTCGATCACAGGGACAGCAAACCGAACTTACAAAATTAGCCTTTGGTAGAGGTAGAAGAAAACCATATGTCTGCAAGTTCTTTTTAGAGCGCACCATACATTTGGCTCCCCGCACGTGAGTCCACGCGCACGCGCGCCGCGCAAACGCGCATTTATAACCACCCCATGCAATGAAAAGCACTAAAGTGCAAACCCTTGGCACATGTGGAACCCATACACAAGTGTGGCACCACCACAATTGATGGTCTTGACCATGCATCAAAAGAACAGCATGTTATGCACCATTTCTATAAAAAAAATGGCCAGCCCTATATCTGTTTGAGGCCCAAAAAATATATAAGGTTGAAATATTGCCAACCTTTCATCTCTCTACTAATTTTCGTATTACCCGTGGATTGTTTAGTGCAAAAAAAATCCAAGGTTGAAAAATATTTTTTAATAAACGGCCAGCCCTTCATCTCTCCAGACAGACGTCTACGGACGCAGTGCTATGCCGAACTATACGCTGCCCTTTGAGAAACGTGGGTCCGTGGTAGATTTGTAGGTAAGGGGAGGAACCAGAGCTGTTCCCAGCCAATGCTCTGGACCACCTGACACTTTAGTGCGGGATCGAGGATCTAACCACTTAGCCACTACCACCTAGCCACTCGGGCTGGCCTTGAGAGGTGATGAAAAAACGTTCCATATTATACCAACACTCCTATTACATCATTGTAAAAAAGGCGCCTCACGATCAAGAGAGGGGGTGCTTATCCATAAGACCACCATTACTTGAATGGGAACAGCGTAAATGAAAAGCACTAAAGTGCAAACCCTCGGCGAACTGCGCACGCGCGGTACCGCTAATTGATGGGCTGGGCTATTTGTAGTATGCGTTTACTCGTGGTCTCCCGCTAGCTGACACGGGCTAGCCACAGTAGTAGATAGCATGCGGGAGTCGATACACGCCCTTCGTTGTGACTTCTTGTGCCTCCAAGGTACACAGAGCAAGCGGACCCGGTCGAGGTAAGCCTGTGCTAATTTGCATATTGGCTTGTTCACTTGGCTTTCATGCCATAACTTCTGAACGCGGCACTTTTACAAAAATCGCCATTTTTAAAGTGAAGCGGGTGTAGCGCTGAACCCGTTGGTGTCGCTATTTTACCTGTTTGTCGCGCGTGGTGGCAGAAAACGTGGACAGACGGACAGACCAAGTACTGACCCTCGCTGCGCATGCGCGCCGAGGGTTAACATCAGTTACTAACATGTATAAAAAAGAATAATAATAATTTAATGGAACAACAACAACAACTGTAGGTGTGTAAATTGAGCAGACACAGTGTATCATTATCAACAGTAGGCGCAGGTTGGTGTCTGTAGTACTGTTACACATAGTGGCGCTATTCTAATTACAGCACCCTCCGCCCCCTCCCTTCCCTCCTCCCCCTGCCCCTCCATTCTTCTTGTTTGACGATCCCTTCAACTCCACCCCTCTGCCCTCAGTGTCTTTGGACTGGGCCGGGGCCTGACAGGGAACGGAATAGAGACACACACAGGAATGGAATGAAGACATAAGAATAATGCTAATACAGTAAGCTAAAGAAAGTCAATAGGTGTAGCATGCAGATAAACACAATCTTGTATGTACACATGTGTATATACAAACACTATTCTCAACAGTGGATGATGATGATGATGTCATGATGATGATGCATACTATATACATACCTTCTTGAGTATCTGCCTTGCCAGAGTCTCGAATGCCTGCGGCAGAGACACACACAGTATGAGATAGGGAGGAGAGAGAGAGAGAGAGAGAGAGGAGAGAGAGAGAGAGAACAGAGGGAGAGAGAGAGAGGAGAGAGAGTATATACAAAACCCCTTTGCTGGTAAGTTTCTACTGTTGAAGCTTACTCATCACACATCAAAGCTAGAGCTACAATGCACACTGGCAAGCTGTTGTACTCCAACATTTGGAATGATGTACACATGCCCAAGCCACCACCATTAGTGTAGTGTCATTTAAGTGTGTGTGTGGGAATATTGCTCTGTAGAGGTGGCTGCATGTGGGCGACCAAAAATGCAAGACCAACAATCATTCTAAGTGGTGTATATAATATACTTCTAAAAAGAGCAACAGTCTAATTCATTACCTCGTCGATATTGTGGTTGGTCTTTGCGCTGGTTTCCAGGAAGGAAATGCCTTGATTGCTTGCCAACTGATTACCCGTTGCCGTGGGGATAGTTCTCCGCGTCTCCCAGTCGCACTTGTTGCCAATCAACAGTCTCTCTACGTCTGCCGACGCATGCTGTGGGAATGGGGTTAAAACACAGACATTCATTAGTAACATACAGGGTTTAAAATTTAGAGGGTCAGTGTTTAGGTAAAGACAAATGGAGTCAGTAAACTAGCAATTACCAAGGGACATAAAGGGTTGAGGGTAAATACAGTATTTAGTGAGGTGAGGGTTAACACACCATTTCAATGTTGTTGAGCCACTTTTGAATGTTGTCAAATGACTTCTGATTAGTGATGTCATAGACCAGGATTATACCCTGCATTACATACATACACCAGAGAAAACAGATGAAACAAAAAAATGTGAATGTCGTGCAGTAAATCTTATGTGGATGTCAATTGTACAAACAGATCCCACACACTTATGTAAAAACTATCATTGACGGCCCACCATGGCACCTCTGTAGTAAGAGGTTGTGATGGTGTGGAATCGTTCCTGACCTGCGGTGTCCCTGTGAGGGGGGGAGAGGGAGAGGGAGGGAGAGAGAGAGAGAGAATAAGATAGAGAAAGATGAGGGAAAACTGTAACCCGTACAGTGAGCATGTATATACAAAGGAGATGAAACACACATAAAAAGGAGCTATCGAAAAGAGGTGAGAGAATATGTGAAGACAATATTATTATGGGCAGCAGAGGGAGTAGCAGAAGAGGATGAGAGGCTCACCAGATCTGCAGTTTGATCTTCTTTCCCTCCAACTCTATGGTCTTGATCTTGAAATCAATTCCTAGTCCACGGAACGGAACGGAGACACACACATACATCACATCACCATTACATCATAACCCACATGCAGTACATTATACACAGACACAACCAATGCACGAGATACACAGTCAAATGACTCATGTCACCAGATACACTATTTACTACACTACACACTACCTGTACTACTTCAGTACTACAGTCACAGTCATAATTATGCATTATACACATGCTGAAATTAACTTCACAGCTACTAGTAGTTACTCCATGCCATGTTCTTTGTGTCATTTCTGTTCACTGCAAGAGGTGTCTTTATTTGGTGCATGCAACCAAGTCACCACGTGTTAGCAAGCTGCTCTACATGTTTGCCTCTAGGGACATTATTAGAAGGCTTGTTACAGTTCTGGCAACTTGTGTCTGCACGCTGTCTCGCGTACAACGAACATTAACACGTCTAGAGAACAATGGCAGAGTTTGGTATAGTGTTCTGTCACATGTCTTCCTACATTATGTATGATGTATGGCGATCCTGATGTATGTTGCTACATATACAGTCTTTGTATTATAAGAACGTACTGTTGTATATACACACATATGTAGTAATGTTTGGGGTCCAGCTGCGTTGAGTACGGATACGAAAGAGCAGCGACAGAGGGAAGAGAGAGAAGAGAGAGAGAGAGAGAGAGAGAGAGATTGCAAGGATGAATCCGCAACAAGGTTTTCACTGGTGAAGACTAACTAAGTGCATAGTGAAAATATAATTTTGCGTGAGACAAAAGTCTTGTGCAAACCAGGAAGATTCATGGACCTATATTATACTATACACAATGGAGTTCATCGCACTCTGCGTCTCTGGCCACAAGGTTGTGCCACTTGTATATACACGCGCATATCTAAAACACAGGTCGTTTCTTCAGGATAGAGTAAAGGTAAGGTGGTGCTGGCTTAAATTCGTGGGAACTAGCTTGGTAGCAGGAGAGAGAGAAGCAGAAGAGAAGGAGAGGGAGGGAGAGAGAGAAGAGAGGCGGTGTTGCTCACCGATTGTTGATATGAATGTTGTGTTGAACGTATCGTCGGCGTATCTGAACAGGACGCACGTCTTCCCCACGCCGCTGTCTCCTATCAGGAGCAGCTTGAAGAGAAGGTCGTACGCCTTCTTGGGCACCACCTGCTGATGGCCTCCGCCCAAACTCGCCATCTTCTCTCCGCCTTCACTGCTCGATCAGCATCCGCCACTCACTTTGAACTCACCGAGACCCCGCCCCCAATTATCCGTGACGACATTACGCATGCGCACACCGGTAAACGTCGTTTTTTCTCCGTAAACTCACACAACCGAAACAGTTTCCGTTCGAACAGTCGCATACTCTCCGTAGACCCTTCAGTAATCTCTAGCATACTCAACGTATCCCTCAGTAATCTATGTTGTAGGCATGGTGGGAGTGTGGGTGCTGTACTCGTCGGTGTTCGGACTCTACTCGTTGATGGAGGTGCTGGGACTGATGCCGCAGGAGGTACGGAGTGCTGGCATCACTCTCCCCGCCATCTTCTCCCCGCTCTACGGAGACCAGGTTGGTAGGGTGGCTTTTCTTGTGCGCATGCGTGGCATACTATGAAGTAGTTTGAGTTTGTGTCAATTTGAGCCGCTACCAAACACATTGATATGTGAGATGGAGACCTCTGAAATAATAATGGTCACTTTCTCTTGTCTGGTGCACAAATTAGGGAGGTTACACTGTGTGGAATATTTTAATTACTTTTTCACTGTAGAACATTGATTTTGTGGGGTACCACGTGAAGAGGACAACAGTCACCGTTCTACTCCACCTATTGCTACCTGTGGTCTATTGTTTGGGGCTGGGGATAGTGGAACCTGAGTGGAACATGGTGAGTGCATGAACCGCCGCCTTGGGAAATTGAGGGTATCCTTGTTAGAGAGGTGTCCTCATTACATGGGTGTCCTTAGAGAGGTGTCCTCGTTACATTGGTGTCCTTAGAGAGGTGTCCTCATTACATTGGTGTCCTTAGAGAGGTGTCCTCATTACATGGGTGTCCTTAGAGAGGGACTTCATTATACACTGGATTGTAAACCATCTATCACTTTCATCTACTAGTTCAATCCTTGGACCATTTCCATGCCCCTCGCCCTACTCTGGTGTGCTTCATTTGGAGCTGCTCTCGTCGGCATCACCACGGCAACGAGGTGGTACGCAGACAGCTGGAAAAGTCATCCACTGATGAAGACCCTTGCCAGAACTGGTCAGCCTCCCAGGTGGGTGAGCACATTGCTGGCGCTTTAACCGTAAAATACGAAGGAATCTTCTGATGTAATGATGTAGTGGTGTATGTATGTTTATGTACTAACTATTCAGGATTGCTGCATCGTCTGTGAATCTGGAGTTTCGAGATATTGACAAGTTTGTGGCGTCGCTGGGAGGGAGTGTCGTCATAGTGACGGACTCTTGGATTCTCCAGACCAACGTACACGGTGTCGATATTGTTCATCAGAGAGACGCCGTCCTCCAGTGAGGAATGAGGGAGAGAGGGAGGGAGGGAGGGAAGAAGAATGGGCTTGCTAGGCTTGATCACCTTCGTGATATATAGCAGAGGGAAATAATGCCCAAGTGTGTGTTAGAGGTTTATGTAGTGAAACATTCTTGTATATTCACCAATGAAGCAACAGAAAGTTTATTTTGAGGGGGGAAGATAGTGGAATGGGGAGAGAGGGGGTGGGGAGGGAAGTTAAACAGTTATCTCGTACACTCTCCCAGTGTGTCATCATCGGAGGAGCACTCCCTGACGACCGAAGGCACCTCAGCTCAATACCTCAACATATCCGTGAGAACTCATATCCACGTTGGTGGCTGATGGTAGATAATAGTTGTGTGCTCTCTTCCACAGGTGCAGAGCATCAACACTGAAATCTACAAATCATTTTGTAAGTAAGACACATCCTCTTCTCCCTCTCTCTTCTCTGAATAACGAACACTACCCATTTTTAGAAAGAAAACTTGATTGAGAGCTTGCATGCACAACAATGTGGTCATCAGGTGAACATTTTCCACCTTTATGAAGAAAAAAAAATTTGCAAGCAAACGTGTGCCATGAGTGTATGAATTGAAATTACGACGATTTTCCCAGAACAGAGATAGTTTGTATTAAAATTTCGCTCCAACAAAAATGTTAGAAGTTCATTCCCTCGGCCCTCCTCCCAATTCCAGCAATAAGACTGAACTCTCTGCAGTACACCCAGCTGACAGAGAGACTGATGTCGCCCATCAGGGTCGCTCGCTCCGTCCTCATTCACCAGTCCATCGCTGACAGGTTCTCTGTCGCATTCCGAGACCAGGTGGCACGGAACGGGGCCTATACCCAGCCTCCCGGATCACCTGTGAGTCACGTGACCTTCCTTCTTTCTGCTCCTCTCATGCTAATGAGCCATATTCTAATAAAGTACATGTATACAGTAAGTAACTAAAACACATTTTTGACGAGCGAAGCGGGCAGTTGAATATTTTTAGAATCACGTTGTGGTAGTAACATTGTGGTATATATGCGGCAGTGGCTTCGTAATTATATGAAAAAATCAGGGAACTAATAGGGCCCATTACACACGACATCAGCCAAACTGGTCAATGTAGAGATTAACAGAAAGACATCAGATGTTGACCCTGTTCTCCTCCACTGGCCACTGCAGGCCATGGAGCCCTGTGTTGGCTGTCTGCAGGCAAGACCTGAAGTCAAACTGAGCAAGCAGTGCGAGAATGACCAGGTACGGACACACACACACACCTCAATCCGTCCAGCTAGCCACACCCACTGACACACCCACCTCAATCCCTATTTTGGCAAGTGTTTATAGCCAAGTCCTTTGTTAATATCCACTGGTTTCCTTTGCCTATCTTCTCGCTCGAAAGTTGGAAAACGTGCATGAAGAAGTTGCGGTATGCTCTGCTGATGAGGGCCAACAAGCCCGAAACAGCTGTCCAGAGCTCCGCATCTTTTTTCTCTTGGCATCACATGGTCCAATACCTTCATGAAATCGTAGTTAGTTGACTTGATTCATGACTTGTCACCACCATAGTCTACATGTATACATGGTTTCCCCCAACTTGAGTCCCTCCTCATCATCCCTGTCCCCCTGTCCACAGTGCAGACAGTGTTTCTGCCGCCCGATGTGGTGCATGTCCTGCATGAGCAAGTGGTACTCGGCTCGTCAGGATCAGTACCACCTGGAGACCTGGATGTCTGGAACGGCGCCCTGCCCCATGTGCAGAGCCACGTTCTGCATGCTGGACGATTCTCTCAGTGTCCGACTCGCAGCAAAACAACACTTAACAAAAAACAATTTATCCCTCTCTCTCTTCTACTACTCACGACTTTCTAGCTTTCTTCCAATTCTGAAGAACGTATTAATAGCTAAAATTTGACCATCTCAACTCCACTATCTATGTATGTGTGAATATGATGAATTGTAATTTTTGTCGTAAAGTGCAGTCAGCAGCACATCAACAATTTTTTCTACACATGGCTGTTTCAGCATAATAGTTTATACGAATGTCAGAGATTCACAATTTATTAATAAGCGTCTTTGTAAGGATGCGCACCCTTCCTTTAAAATGAGGATTCACCAATTTTTTAATCATATAATATAATCATAGTGTTTCTACATGATCTTATTAAAGTTCTATAAACATGTTAAAATAACTATACAGCATCGTTTCCCTAAGAATTGAAGACAATAAATAAGGGGTAATCCCAATTTTACTTTTGATATTGATTGCAACTAAAGTTCTGTTGGTATGGCTAGTGTGTGTCTGGAGTGGTCTGTGTGTGGTCTCCTTCGTCATGTTGGACTTGTAGTCTGGAGTGGTCTGTGTGTGGTCTCCTTCGTCACGTTGGTCTTGTAGGTCTGGAGTGTCTGTGTGTGGTCTCCTTCGTCACGTTGGTCTTGTAGTTTGTGTGCCAGTGGCTCTGGTGTGGTGTCCTTTGGTCCGCAATGGTACTGTGTGGTCTGCTGTGGTTCGCTTTGGTCTCCATCGACTTCCTCAAACATGGGATTAGTGGCTTCCATGGTAACTGACATATAGTCTGGCAGATATGAATGACCTTCGACTGCGGGGGTCGTTTCTATGGATACAGCAGTAAAATCACACGGTGACGACGATGTTGTGCAATCTTCCGATGACGACAGTGGAGTTGTTGCCGTGGAAACAGAATCTCCGGAATGTGGTGGAGAAGGGGTTAAGTCTGGCGTCGGTTGAGGCCAGCAAATCTTCTTGACTGCACCGGTTCTGGTGTCTTTGACGATTAGTTCGTGAAGGGTGCTGAAAATGGTGCACGTTTGGTCCTTTTGGCATCGTTTGGACCGGACTTGTCTCGTGCGGTGGTTCACGGCGTGGTACAGTTGATTAGTAGCTCTGTTGTTGAACAGACCTGGAAGAGGTATGGAGGTCTGCCTCGGGTCACTCGTACTGAGCCACGAATGGAAAGAAGAAGGGAGGACGAGTGTCAGGAATCGAGACGCTGCGTGGTGGAAGAGGTGCAGGAATTCGGGGAGAACGGACGAGTCGAAACTGCCGTCTGATTCGTCAGAACTCATTGAGACCAGAGGATGGTTGCTTGGCGACGTGGCCGCACGAGTTGGGTAGCAATCTGCGGCCTGTGGAGGAGTACACGTCATTGTATTGTTACAGGAGGAGTATCTACTCTGTATATAATATAGTAGTAGGGGAATATCATACCGGTTCTTACACCGTTGGCATTTAACTTTTTATAGTAGGAATATCAGTAGGGGAATATCAGTAGGGGAATATCAGTAGGGGAATATCAGTAGGGGAATATCAGTAGGGGAATATCAGTAGGGGAATATCAGTAGGGGAATATCAGTAGGGGAATATCAGTAGGGGAATATCAGTAGGGGAATATCAGTAGGGGAATATCAGTAGGGGAATATCAGTAGGGGAATATCAGTAGGGGAATATCAGTAGGGGAATATCAGTAGGGAGAATATCAGTAGGGGAATATCAGTAGGGGAATATCAGTAGGGGAATATCAGTAGGGGGATATCAGTAGGGGAATATCAGTAGGGGAATATCAGTAGGGGAATATCAGTAGGGGAATATCAGTAGGGGAATATCAGTAGGGGAATATCAGTAGGAGAATATCAGTAGGGGAATATCAGTAGGGGAATATAATGCTACAGTGGACGTGGGAGCACAGAGGAAATTGGTATACTTACATTACTACATGTACTAGTTAAGTTACTTACATGTAATGCATGGGCGACGTGTAAAAAGGGAAAGAGCGAGAGAAAGTCACGAGGGCAGGATTTGAACGTGGAACCTTGGGTGTAAAAATCCACTGTCTTACGATACAGCGTCACTTAGTTTTTACGCACGTAATGTGGCTCCAAAGTGTGTTAGGAATGATTATTAGCGGGGGCCTAATTTTACTCCCCCTCTCTGAGCTATGGACTCACAATTTCTCCATTTTCACCATCTGGTGTCCTTCTCTTGTAGCAGTTTTCACCATCTGGTGTCCTTCTCTTGTAGCGGTAGAGCAGATAGAGGCCAACAAGGACAATGATAGTCACAGGCACCACGAGGATGATGAGCAGTATGTGGAGATCGTTGAGGAGGGGGGTGGGGTTGGGTGGAGTGGTTCCCACATCGTTTGTTGACGGAGTCTCTGATGATGATGATGATGTTGCCGATGTCGGGGAAGTTACTGAAGAGAGATATGGGGATACACTACAATTCTATATAATAGTACTATATATACAACCTTTGACCTTTTCCTCTAATACGACAAGACCACCACTATACTATTCCTTATAAGTTCACAGTCAGAGCCAACGATACTCATAGTCAAGTGATTAATCTGGTAATTAAGATTTTCGCCCCTAAGTGCGTAAGAATTTAGTAAAAATGCAGATGAACCCGGAATTTAGAGGCTCTGGTAAGTGCCTAAGTGCCTTTTCCCCGTTATGAGACCTCAAAGTTTACCAGAAATCCGTGACTATTGAGAAACACGTGCTGCTAGACACTATAGGTCTTCTATATAGGAATACGACCACCTGAATCAGCACACAGTATGTACAATGTACCAGGGTTCTATTTAGTACACACTATAAGTCATCTGTTGCAGCAACAGGCAGAGTACAACACTACCCAATTGGCAAAGGGGTCAGACCCATAACACTACTTCTGTGTCTCCAAATTACCAGCAGTTTTCCTTATTTGGCTCCAAATTCCAACTCTGTTTCGCACACACACACACTACGTGGGGGAAATCTAGCGAGAATATGTGGCAAGTATTACAACCAGCATCGTGTCAAGTGATCAATTACAGATAAGTTAGGCAAACAGCGGAAAATTGCGGACCGCACTACTCTGCTACAGGGAAAGGCACGCGACACGTCAATGTTACTAGAAACAGTGATATACATACTGATTGAGAGTGTACTGTCCATAGCACAGTGGTTTGAGTGTGCCTGTGTTGTGTTGTAGATTCGAACCCCTACCAGCTGAGTTGCCCTGGTAGCTCAGTTGGTAGAGCGCTCGCCTAGACTGCAGAGTGTCGTGGTCTCGAATCCCACCCAGGGCAGCTCTTCTTCTTTTCTTTGTAAAGAAAGAGCTAGTTGACTTGTTTGCCTTGCCTTGCCTTTCTACCTCGTTACCAAATTGTTGAGACATGCATCTCTTTCTCACATGAGGATTATTTACCTTCTTCAATGTCTTCCTTGGTGTTTTCACTGACATCACTGTCTAATTCATCGCTCTTGGCAACGGTCACTGTTCCATGACTGACCAATGTCTCGGGCTCAAACCTGTCAGGCAGGTTCTGAGTCACGGTACACCTGACATCGGTCTCGGACCCTGCTACCACCATGGCTCCACCCACTGCGAGAATACTCGTCTTTTTCAACGGCGTTTCGGACGACGTAATCTCGTGTACGCATATCCCATCACTGTGGCAACCGTCAGTTGAGGTGTTGTAATGGTTGTTGCCGTATGTCCATGTGAAGTTCAGCTCACTGCCAGTGGCTGTGCAGGTGAGGTTAAAAGAGGTGTTGGGTCGGGTTTCAGTCTTTGGTGGAAGGTGCTGTGAGATATTGGCTTTTACTGAGGGAGAGATGGAGGGAGAGACGGAAGGAGAGACGGAGGGAGGGAGAGAATTCACCCATTAATACTGGCAGTACCCACATTTCAGTGGCTTCTTTTATAGTATTGTTCCCAAAGAACATTAGTTCTTGCATGCAAAAATAAAGTGTTTAATCTCACTAATCTGGACACACTTTCTGTGCCACTGGTGTTCCACTGTATATATTATGTTGCACACCACATTGCATGGCAGAAGATATACTGAAACTATCACGAGGGGCTCCACACTATACTATTTGAATTTCAAAAGAGTAGTTTGTGGACGGCAGTCTGAGTGTGTGTGGGTTGACAATACCCATGAGACCACACTGGGAAACCACCCTCTAGCTAGGTGAGGTCCACACGTGGCATATCCAATGATAGTTTCCTTGTTTGCAACCCACCACATACCAGGGGTTGCATATGCCCACAGGAATTCACCAGATACTCCAGGAATTCAATTATACTACAGATTAATAGTACTGCACTCTTTTGTACTCATTGTTCTTTGACATCACATGGAGGAAGGGGGAAAGTTTGATCTGCACTTGTGTATTTACAGTGGAGTAAGGCTATATGGGTTCACAATACGTCATATTGCCCATCGTGCAATAATAATAAGTGAGCTACGAGAGCAAAGCAAGTGCAAACCTACAAATCAATGACACCCACGACACAACACTTCTTTTCAACAGAGAAACACGAGCTGTGGGATTCGAACTAATGACACTCTGCAGGTTATGCCCAAGAACGTGGTATATATCATAGTGAAGAAACTGAGAGGGAGGTGCGGTCAGTCTTACCAGCAGCTCTAATCCCTCGGCCGCAGTAGGTTCTGTCTTTGCCTGGAGCATGTTGTATGACAACTCGACACTCCAACAGTTTCTCCTCCTTATACAACACTGTCAGATTACTCGAGGTCAGGTTAACCGCAAACGAACGAATATCCACATCAGGGTGACTTTTAACTCTATCTGTGCCTCTCCGTGAGCGCCACTCTAGGGTGTAGCTGCTCCGCATGACCCCAGGACGGATGGTACAGTTGAATGAGTATCGATCATCTGGTGAGAAGTCTCTCATTTGGTAGTCCAGTGAGACTGGGTCATCACTGGTGCAGTCATAGTACAGTGCTGGCTGAGCTGCAAGAGAGATGTTTGGCAAATAAAGGGAGAGCAGAGAGAGTAAGTGAAGGAAGTGAAAGAAAGAATTCTCTAGCTGAGGACAAAGTGTATTTTCATAGAGAAAGTAAACCATTTTACACTTCGTTGATTTGGTCCCTCAATAATTATAACCAAGTACTATATAGTTGTACACAAGGTAATGACTGCTATGATGAAAGGGAAAAGAGAGAAATGTACAAATTTCAAATAATTGGGCTCTTAATAAGACAGATATTTTTGAAACCACCTCTGCTTGTGTGTGTAAATGGTTTATTTTAAGCAGTTTAGTTTAAAGTGTACCATTGTAAAACAGGTGCACATGTGGTATGTCGAGATTAATATAATCTGAATTCTTCCCATATCATTCTTAATTGCACACCCTGGGGTTCATATCATATTTCACCCACACTTATTTCTCCCCCTCTTTCCCTACCCCACATGCTCCCAGCTCCAATTAACGATTAAAGACACAGCAACCGCAAAAACTCTTTGCCCGTGTAAGCAATTACTCTGCCCAAGAAGGTTGTTTCCCAAAGAACTGTTGTTGCATAACCCCTGAAATAGTGACACTTAACTAATATGGACACTTCTATATTATTATTGCTGTCCAGGTTCGTTATAATAAGATGGGGGTTTGTAAGCAGTTCATACATTATATAAACTTTCATCCCAATCACATAGCTGATTGGAAGAAAATCAGCCTCAGCATTATCCAATGTTAGAGTACAGGGTGCAGTTGATATTCCCATGACACTATCATTACTGCAGAGGGAAAACCCCCGGAGTCCAACCAACCAACATCAGGAAATGGACCAACCACAACCTCTCATGGACCCAGAGTCTATTGCATAGTGTGGTCTGTGGATTCCCCTGAAGGATTACTCACATTAGCTTAAACTCAACTAGAAGACTGATGCACCAGCTTAACGACTTGGAGGGCTTTAAGTAACCTGTCCTTTATACGGAAGTACCACATAACCCAGAAAATATTTGTCTTTAATGGGCCATAGAGAATTAATGTGGTATTTGTGAGGTGCAGTATATACTTTGTCTCCATAACCCTCTGTCACTGTGGTTGTAAGATGAGCATTCCTGCAGTATTATGCTACTGGATATAGCATAATACATCGATCTAGCCATACCTAGATACTGAGTAGGCAATCACATCAGTGAAGTATAACTTAGAAGTCCATTTCCCAACAGAAGATTAGCTACACACATAATGTGATATGCCAACTACACAATAGTATTTATATTTATGCATTATTATAGCTACCTGCAAGAGGGACACTCTCAGACGTTTCTCCGTTAAACTCGCACCAGAACGACCCCTCGTTCGCTGGAGAGAGGGTGTAGAGTATCGTCTCGTCCTCGTCCCCCACTTGCTCCCCCACAATCTGCTCCTGGGACTCCGTGCCCCCGCGGGACAGGTAAAACGTAGCGCCGCTCACGGCTTCGAAAGTCTCCTTGCAGGTAAGCTCTACGCGGTTGTAGTCGCCGGACGTAGGGTAGCTGTACTGCAGACTGAGAGCCGAAGTGGCGGAGGGGAGCGAGAAGAGAAGGACAAGGAGGAAGATTGGAACATTGGCACGTAGAGATAGAGGCAGTGGTGAGCGATTTGCCTCAGCGATTGACGAGTAACTTGCGCTGATTTTCGGCATACTACTTTTCGGTTATGCTGCTGCGGACTGGATATTCATAATATACGTACCTGCGCGCGCGTGCGCACGAGGTTGTAATTATTTGCGCATGCGTATACAAAAGTAAAGTGAACTTGTTCAAACTGAATGCCAAACTAATTTTTCACACTATATAAACTGTAAATTGTGGGAGGGGAGGATAATGACAACTAAAAGTTACTTGTAAAAATAAAAACACGCTACAACTGAATGGGAGCAGTATTGTGAAGATTCCTAGAGCCGACTGTCATTGCTGCCTCCACTGTCTCGACCGTCACCACTCTCTCTTCCTTCCTGCAGTTCCGATTTAATCCTCTCCATTAGAGCCTGCAGATGCTCACTCGCTGCAAAAGAATAGGAAACAAAAGCCTTTTAAATGGACGCTACGCACAACTTAAAAGGAGTTAGCATAATCATTTAAGTAAGGTGCAACTAGTTGCTTCCATTGGTGCATGCAGTTGTACAGTACAACCTATTAGTGACACACATAGGCACACCATATGAATGGTGGAAAAATTATAGCGAGAAAAATGATATCTCCCTAAGGAATATGGCTGGTTCACTAGACTAAAAGCTATCTCCCCAAAACTATAACACAAGACTAGCAAAAATTTCCACTGTTCTTACCTTTTCTCTGCTCTTCTCCCTCACTGTCTTCAACTGGAGGACCATCTTCTGCGGGGTGTCCCTCGGTGCCATCAGACCTCAACCCTCCACCAGTCTCACTGTTGCTATGTCGCTCATCCGCCTGGCGACGCTGCTCTTCAGCCTCTGCTTGACACGTCTCGGCTGCTGCCTGCGAAATCTTGTCCTGAGATTTATAACGTCGTCCAGCCTCTTCTCCAGTTGCGCTATCCTTGCCGGATTTCTCGGGTTTCTCCCTTGCTCTTTTTCCACTAGATCCTCCAGGATTTTAAGCAGTGGGTCACAGAAATGTCTTTTGTCGCAATCTTGCTTCATCTTCTCTACCTTCAAGTTTGCTGATACCGTATGATGACCTAAATCAACTTGCTCCTTTGTTTTTTTCCCTTTGTATCTTGTCCATAAGCAGAATATAACTATAGCCGCGAAAGCTGTTACTACCAGGCATAAGGAAAAGCCTGCAACTACTGGTATCACAATCTCCAACAATTCTTTCTTGCAGGATGTCTCCGGGCTGTCATAATCTAAGAGAGAGAGTGGAAAAGGAGGAAAAGGGATATAAAATGACTGAGCACAGGAAGCATAACAACTATAGTGAAACCTTAACCCTCTGAAAAAGGGACACTGACCTACTTGCTCTGTCTCATACTAATATCTCTGAGTAAGGAATGTATCTGGACAAAGAGTCACAAAGAGTCTCTTATCAAGCGGTTTCACTCTTAGGCCTAAACACTGATTAAAATTTTGATCAGCAAAGGAAAATGTGTGGCATAATCACGACCTACCAATATACTGTAGTTGAGAGACATTTGCAGGACTGAAGGGGCCGGTCTGTCCATCACCACTAGTGCCACCTGGACATGGAACTGTCGGAACTTCAGTCGCGAGGCTGGCACAAAGGAGTAGAATCGAGATCCCTCGAAAAACACGTCGTCGACGGGAAAATCAATTGGATCTTCTCCAGGTTGAAAGGGAGTGGTCTTTAGTCGTATCTGAGTTACCCCAGGGATAGCTACTCCATTAGGTAGATCCATCCTCACTAGCAGGTCTTCCTCCTGTGTTGGGTAAGGCTGTGGTTCCAGACTGGAATCTGGGTAAAATGATATTCACAGCAATCAGTATGCATTCTCCACTCCATGCCCAGTATATACACCTCGCTATAAAATGCATTACTATCAAGCAACAGCCAGTTTCAGTCACATTGATGCAGGCCAGCACAAACACAAGGCAAATTATGCACCGTCGATCCACCGTATACGCAAACTGCAGGTATACTATTGCTGAAAGGTGTGTATAATTATAACTGAATGTGCTAATTCTCACCAACATTATGTTCTCCTATTCACTTAGCCTCATACCTACTCCCCATCATAAGCATTCATACACAGGAAAATGGTTTTAAAAGCTCATTAATCTATAAATAACTACAGTTCAGAGAGTGGCAGGCATCCATATCTAAAGCCTTGTGCTAATGTGCTTGGAAATAGAAGCCATTCCGCGTGTAGTATCTTACACTAGATCCAGAGAGCTCACACAGATTGTATGGAGCAAATGCACACATTCTTGGTGGATACCAACATGGTGGAGGTGAGTTATTGTTATCTCCCCAACCTCCATTTTGAAGGTTGCTGTTGTACAAACAGTTGGTAGTGGAGCTGCTGTTTTTCGAAAGTAATTAATGGTCTAGGGCAAACACTGATGGGCCGATTTTTGGTTACCAAAAAGCAACACATTTATGCTTACAAAAAAGCAACAACAGCTATTGTTTTTTAAAAACACATCATAATGCCCAAACAGCCCTTCTACTTGCAGAAAACAGGGTAAAAAGATAAGTGGCTTAAACTATGCACATTTTACTTATTGGGGCCCGTTTTATTACACTTTGAGTGGTGGTGCATCAGTCTCAGATCCTACCCCAGTTTCATGTTTGTTTAGTTAGATGAATGAACGTACCCAGGATAATGAGGCTGCGAGAGAAGCTGTGAGAGAATGTAGCAAGGTCACCCACTTCACCATTCTCCGTGAGTCTGTATTGGATACTGGCCTGGCATGTGATGTTCCCAATGTTGGCCAGCCTTGGGCGGCTAACTCTCAGCAAGCTGATTAAACTTTCCTCTTCTGTGGTTGTAGTAGCCACCTGGAAGTCGGTGCTATCACTAGGTATCGGATTTCCGTTATGGGACCACTGTATTTGTAGTCCAGGGCTCCCCGTGGCACTGCAGTTGAACTGAACTGAAGGAGGACGAGTGGTGTTGGGGTGAATGGTGTGAAACTGGTCACTTGACAGAAAGATTATTTCAGGTTCCTCTGAAGAGAGAAAGGAGAAAAAAAACTTCAATGAACCCTTTTTTGGTGCTAAATTTCATGATGTAGAAGATGGTACCCAGCCAGGATTACTTATTAGCTAGCTACTCACGGTAAACTTGGAGAATTATCACTGGACTCTCACGTCGATCAAGATTATTGCTCGGTCCGACGTTTACTTCGCAGACGTAGTTCCCAGAGTCGGTGAGCTCCAGACGAGAGATCCTGAGAGAGAAATCTCTCAACTTTTCTCTCGTCACTTCAGCCCTCTCCCCAAAAGTACTCTCCACATTCTTGAAGCCCATGAATATCCAGTCTGTGTTGTACAGGCTCCAAAGAGCCCCTTGCAATATTCCACACGTCATTTCCACTGATCCTCCTACCGGCTGGACGTAGTAACGAGGAATATCAACGTCTGCTGTGAGACTTGCTGAATGGATATAGACTTACTCGGAACGCTGATCTCATAAAAACATGAAACAGATTCTAAAGTTACGGCTATTTTAGATAACGTTATGGTGAAGGTAGGATTTACAGCTCTTTCAAGATGCAACAAAAGCTGTCTTCATGAGGCTATATACCATAACGAAATACATCATGGTCCTTATAACCTTAAAAGAAACCTTGTGGGGAAGTAACACTGGGTCAGGCCCAGGGACTCTCCCTCTACATACATCATTGCTCTATCTTGAAGGATGCTGGGTTGTAACCCCACTGCACACTATGAATGAAGTACACCAAATCATGCTAATAGTCACCTGCAAGATCCAATGAATTCAGACTCCGATTATTTCCATTGCCGCAAGTGAAGCGTCCTTCCAGTGCCTGTGTTAGCGGAAATGTTATCCTCCCTCTTGCCTCTGTATACTCTCCGGCAGTTAGGTTGCCACGAACGTCAGAGCCATTGAGATAGAATACTGGATTCTCGATGTCTGACTCTCTCCCTTCAAGGTTTGTCTCTCTGCAGATGAGTGTGCGCTCGGCTGGGTTGCTGATCGTTTCAAGATGAATCTTTATGAGCGGCTGGCCGGACACACCATAGGGTGTAAGAACCAACACTAGCAGTAGAAGAGCACTTTTCTTTCTCCCCTTTTCTCTGTCCTCATCTCTCTCTCTGCATTGCATAAACAGAGCTCTGCACCACGTGCACCCTACACTAGCTGCCAGCTCTATGACGCGGCCCAATATAGGAGTGCAATAGCAATCGAATACTATGTCCCGACGCTCGTGCACTAAAACACGCGGGTTGCTTTCCGCATTAGTTTTACGTTTCGACTCACTTTTGCTGACCGGTAAACAACAATGCGGAGCCGGATCGGTTTCCTCGGGTCTTGACGTGGTATCTCTGCTGGATCTGGTGCTTCTGGGAATTGCTGGGGTGCCTATAAACACGACGACAACACACCCACGACGACAACACACCCACAGGTAGGCACACACACTCGCTCGCAACTTCCGCGGAGAGCCTCGCGGAGCCACGCCTTCTCAAGTGGCGAGGCGCATGCGTATGGGCGCTCTGGAGTCGTTATTGCTGGCCGGCTAGTCTCGCGCCTCTAAAAACGGAAGAGACTACTTCATTACGGAACTCTGGTCTCTGCTACGTATGGATCTGTCAGCCCATACAGTCTGATCACCTCCCACCTGTAGAGAAAAAGTAGTGCAATCTGCTGCAGTATTTTTCGCAGAGGGTTTACACTTTTATGTACACTAAAAATCGGCTATTCTTTGGTGGAGCCAGCCGACTGGTGAGTGGACTTGCCTGACTATCAACCAGTGGTGCTTTCTGCACATGTGGAGACTGCATTTCGCAGAGAGTTTGCACTCCCTCCTTTCCAGAGCCATCAGAGCCATCACCAGGCTTCGATAAAAATCTTTGAATGAACGCACTGATTTCTTCTGTCATTTTGTGATAATAGATAGCTGTGTATCGTTATTACATCGTATACTATGTGCGAGGTGCAATAGCTTTTTCTTAGCGAATTGCAAGATGCACTTATCTGTAGCGGAAACTCTTAAATCTTCCACTATACATCATGAATGACTCTAATGATGGATGACTACAACAACAGTAACAGGGTGCGAGCTATGGTGCGAGTTTTAGGCATGATGTGGTGTAGTCTGTCGACTGAATTTTCTACACTTTAGCTCCTGTTCAATATCATCAATGAGTTCCAGAATAAGCTTCCTACCTGCATGGATAAATAATACAAGAGCTGTTCTGATGGGGTTCCAGACTCGAACACACAGTTGCCTACCTTCCTCTGCTGTGATCTCAGGTCCGTCCTCTCGAAGTTGAGCTTGAACTGAAGGAGCTCTTGCCACATGCTCCTCCTCCTCTCCTTCTTTGCCCTCTCCCATGACCCTACCCCCTCCCCCTTCTCCCCCTTCTCCTTCATTTGCAGCACCTCTACGTTGTTGCATCTGAGGCACAGCTTGGTAACAACAGCACGTCCATGTGTTTTTAGTCTCTTTGAAGCCACATATACTTTTCTTTACGTCAATTATCTGCTGCATCATTCCCTTGAAGTCATCAAACACTTTTCTGTTGAAAGTACCGTTCTCTGTTCGTTTTCGCTCCTTCTCCAGTTCACTCATGATAAACTTTAATATGCTGTCGCAGGCATGTCTTCTATCATATATTAGATAGGTTGTTGCTAATAGGACTCCAATAACTATAATTACCACGACGGCAGTAGCGACAGACTGGTGGGACAATGTACAGGAGCCTTTTATCACTACCTTCATCATCATAATCTATAATAGTGTGAAGAAAGGAAAGAATGAGAAATGGAGATGATTGACGATGACGATGAGTTTGAGATGGATCCTTACCAACATACTGTGATTCAGTTACTTCAGCAGGACTGAAGGGACCAATCTCTCCGTCAACCACTAGTGCCACCTGAACATGGAACTGTCGGAACTTCAGTCGCGAGGCTGGCACAAAGGCGTAGAATCGAGATCCCTCGAAAAACACATCGTCGACGGGAAAATCCAGCGGCTCTCTGTCACTGGACTCAGGTATGGTTCTGAGTCGTATCTTAGTCACTCCAGGGATCATGACTGAGGAATCCAAGTCCATTCTCACCAACAGGTCTCCGTCCTGTGTTGCATATGGTATCGGCTCCAGACTGGAATCTGGGAAATTATAATTATACACCTGTTTAATCTTTGACACTAGACATATATACAAATAAAAACAAATAGTTGGAACACCAGGCAACAAGACGGATTTGAGGTATGTTTATCAGCTAATGGTTGTGTACTTGTCAGCTACATTCTTTCATTATACGTACCCCTTGAGGCAGGCTTGTAATTATATACTGTTAGTAAACTTTCATTTTGCAGGCTGCAGTTGACTAAACAGTGGGCAGTGGAGCTGCTGTTTTGAAAGCAAGGGAACACAATACTCAAAGCAATGCTTTCAGGGCTTGAGGTATATACACACCTAGAACAGTCAAGCTGCGAGAAAGACTGTTTGAAGTATCTGCATCTTCGCCCATCTCTCCATTCTCCTCACGATTGTACACAATGCTTGCCTGGCACGTGATTTTCCCACTATTGGCCAGCCTTGGAGCCTTTGCCCTTAGATTACTCTGTACAGCTGTAGTTAACCCATTCTCGTCCGGAGTTGTAATGTTCTCGGTTGTAAAGTATTCATTATCGAGGAGTACAAGGTTGTCGTTGTGAAACCACTGTATTTGTAGGTTAGGGAAACCAGTGGCATTACAGGAAAAGTTGATTGATGGAATTGGTTCGTTGGGATGGATTATAAATATTTGGTCACCGGAGAGAAAACTGACTAATGGATCCTCTGTTAGAAAGACAGTGAGAGAGGTGGGAGGGAGAAAGGGATATAATATAAAACTCATGGCTACAACAATAATAAAGAGAGACTATTATTGTCTTAAAGGTTTTACTAACACTTACGGTAGACAATGAGAATTACTTCTTCACTCGATATTGGTGCAGTCCCTTCAAACAGTGTAATAGTGACATCGCATACATAGCCGCCAGACTGCCGAGAGTCAGTTAGCATTAGAGGAGAGATGGTGAGAGTGAAATCCTCCAACTTTTCTCTCGTCACTTCTACCCGATCGCGTTTGCTTCTCTTCGACGTCGTTGAAGCCCTGGTGCCATGCTGCATCATACAGTCTCCCCAATGCTCCCTGCTTTATTCCACACATCATTTCTACTGATCCCCCGACTGACTGGACGTAGTAGTGAGGGACTGACGTGTCTGCGATGGGGCTAGCTGAGAACGGAACAAATCAACCAATCACCAATGGAGCTGATTTTCTCAAAGATACAGGTAGACTGTTTCTAGTCTCGGATACCGTAAAAGCATAAATCTTACTTTTGAAGTCTGGGTAGCTATAAATTCTGTCTCCAGGACTAATTTTTGTAGGGAAGGAAAAGGCATTACAGATGGTAAGTACGAGCAAGGCTGGGCTCTTGGCAATAGCGTCAAAAGAGGTTTGAGAAATAATATTATGTTTATAGAATAAGTCAGGGGTCATCTAATAGGAATGAGGAGGAAACCCCTGGGGATCCCCAGTTATGCTATAAGATGGTCCACTGGGTTTGAGATTTCTGACACTAATATTATGCGTTCTTCGCCCTAGCTGGTATGGGGAGCAAGATGTTCTGCCACTGTCATAATGTGCATCATAACTTCACTCACCTACTACTGGCAAAAGGTTCTGACTTAGTGGAACATGTGCACTATCATTGTCGCAGGTATAGTACCCTTCCAGTTCCTGGGTTATCTCAAACGTTAGCGTTCCCCTCTCTTCATTCTCCGTGTACTGTCTATTAGTCCGATTGAGGACGTTAGTTTCATTCACATAGAACCGTGCGTTCTTTACATCAAATTCATCTCCCTGTTCGTCTATGAAGTCACAGATTAGGATGCGTTGACTGGAGCCCGTTGGAGTTGTCCCTGCAGATATTTTTGTTCGTTGGGCAGTGACTGCGGTAGAGCAGGTCAGAGCTAACAGCAGCAGTGGAAAGAAGGTGTTTCCACTCATAGTCCCATTCACGTCCCCTCAGTGCACTGCCAGGTTGCAAAACCAAACGATGACAATAAAACTACTAAGAGTTATGCAGGCAAAATCCTCCATGAGAGGTTCTGACTTAGCTACATCGCCAATTTTCACTTCTCCTATAGCTCGCTAAGATGCACCCTCCATTGCTATATATTAAGGATGTGCAGTCATGGTACTGCACTAGTCGCCCGTGCGTTTCGTTGCTTTATAGCTAGCTATGGGCGTTCACGTCATCGTTCATGGGAACTCACCTATATCGCGCTTGCTACGGAGTATGCTGAAAAAACAGATTCCGAAATGAAAATCGTCTATATATAACTGAGCACTGACGATCCCCCTGACGCTGTAAGAATCGCGTTTGCTAGTGCAGCTACTAGCTAGTGGCCGCTCGCTGACTGGCACAGGCGCTCGTATGCTTTATAAACCTAACCTCCGCAACTGCGTAATTGAAACTTCCGCACAATCAGAAACGTTTCCTGCCTACGCCTCTCTCGCTCCTCCCGCCCCTTGTCCCGTCGCTTTATTTTCTCCTCTCCCTCCACGCCTGCAGATCAGTGTAATACTACACGAGGCAACAAAAATATTAACCCATGAACTGCACACAGCACAGACATTACCTCAATAAACTTATTGGTGCTGGAATGACACAACAATATAACTATTCAGTGGAAATGTTTGAAACAGAGCTAGTAACGGGCACTATTTGGAAGTCTCGACCAATCCGGATGAATATTCGTCGGAGGAGCGAGCGAACTTCGAACTTTAGCTCCATGGTAACCAGATCGCAGAGGTGGTGATAACAAGCCGAGACGTGTTGTTTGAACTGCAGTGTAGTGCAAGTGTAGGGAGAAAGGGAGAAAGAACAGGAAAGAGAGGGAGACTGTTAGTTCTATGCTAATTGAAGCTAATGTAGACACCTGCGTTAACCTTACAACATACGCCTAAAATTCTAATTGGTTGTAATTCCCCATGCGATGTCCTACAGAAGTGCAATTAAGGGTCACACACAACGTCAACTACAACTATTTTTTTTCCGATGAGAGCTGCCGTAGGTGGAAGTTGAACACATTATATGGCTCATGTCTGGAGTTGACAAACGGTATGAAATTGTGACAAGTTCCCCTCAGAATAAGTTAATGCAGTGTGTGTATTTCGTATGATGTCATACCTGATGATGGTGTAGTGTCAGCAGTCTGGTGAAGATGAGGAGAAGAACAGGCGTCCATGACTCTCTGTGCATCTCACTGGACAGCAGTAGGAAGTAGCCCAGAGCTCTCGTCACGGCACTGAGATGAGGGGAGAGTTGCCAAGATAGGGAGGGAGGGAGGGAGGGAAAGATGAATGCAGGGGGAGAGGGGAGAGGGAGATAGTATGAGGAAGGACTCCACTGTAAACAACACAAACTCAAAACCAGGCTTCTCTATGCCAGTTCAAAGGTTATATTGCATACAGATGTAGTAAGAAGCAGGCAAGATGAATGGTAATATATACCCCTATAAAAACTAAGTCAGATAGTACATATATACCCGAGCAATCTCTTCTGAATTACGTCATGCTCTCCTCTCTCTCCTCGTCCTCCAACATATGGTAGAGGACCCTCAACGAACATACGAGACTCTGTGTCTCTTGTCTCAGGAGGTTGGGCCTCGTACGACCTCTGAACCCTGCACACACAGTGAGGAAGGGGTTAACTAAGATAAAAACTATGAAGCCAGTTGGCAGTAGTTAAAAGTCACGCTGATGATGTATGACTTTTGCAACAAAACGACTGTGTGAATTTCGCGACTCGTGAATTATTACTCACAACATAACACATGACCGCCAGCTCAGTTAATTAGTGTTTAGATATAAGAGATAAATTCATTCTCAGTAGCTATCATAGAGGTATAGTGTAGTGCCTTATTGGCCTTCATGGAGAGTGTTCTAGTACTGAATCAGTAGGTTTTAATTCGTAGAATTTTTAAAATTGTAGATTGTGGTGGCTCACCGGCCTTCATGAGGAGTGTTCGTTGTTCGTTGTTGCAGTTGAAGGCAGAAGCAAACATGTGGCTCTCGTCAAGGCAATCGAGGAGGACAAAGAGCTGAGGGGTGCTCAGTCGGCCAAACATCCCCTCCCCCTCCCCTCGGCTGGGGGCGGGGCTTGGGGTGTCCACGGCAACCGACTAACAACAAAACAGAGAGAAAAAGGTTCCGAATGTTACCTTAAACAAATTATTCATGCCTATTTCAGATTAAAACAACAATAAAAGATTTTGGGAGCGTCACTTACATATGTTTCACTACTGAAGTAAATTGAATAGTGTTTACAAGATAAACACAATCATTGTGTTTACAGTGCAGTCACGCTATGCTGTGTACAAAACCTGTGGTTGTTAGGGGACGATAGTTGCAAACCTGAGCAAATTGTAGGATGGCCTGGTCGTCGTGGCGACTGGTGTTGGGGAAGAAGAGGATGTTGTCGATGGCCTGAATCAGTTCTAGCTGCACGACACACTTGATGATGAGCGACTGGAAGAGGACCTGTTCAGGGGTACGGGCTGGGAGGAGTAGGGGGAGGGAGCAATCATTGAGAGAGAGAGAGAGAGAGAGAGAGAGAGAGGGTGGGGAGAGAGGAAGGAAGAATGGAGTCTAGACAGAGACAGAAAGGCCAGGAAGAAGGTCAACACTCAAAGGAAGGGGAAACTACAAGCAGGCTGAGAAATCACGCCACATACTACAGTTGTAGTGAGTACATGAGGAGGAAACTGGATCAATGAGAGAGTAGGAGACAACTCACTGATGGCTCTCTTGGAGGCCTTGAAACGAGCCAGGTCTGTGTCTGGCATGAGAGAGGAGACCTGCGATATGGCGTCCTCTCCCTTCCCTCCCCTCCCTCCCTTCCTCTCTCTCCTCACCTTCCCTCTGCCCCCTGTCAATACAACAACAAGAACTGTTTTCATGTACGAACAACTTTCTCCTCTTCTTCCTCCCTGTGCCTTTGTAAGCAGCTTGTGTTACGAGGTAACAAGGTTTATATGCTAATGCTGACACACACCTAGACCTTCCATCAGCCATAATAATAGAACATTAACAGAAAGACATTACGTTGGGGAATGGGGGGAGGGACATGCCCCTCTTTGCCCCAACTTGGGCTCAAATATTTCGCCCTCCCATTTCCCATCTACTTATCTTTCTTATTCGCTCCCTCGAAAAAATCGTGTCATTCATCATGTGAACACAATACGAGGTTTTTTTTCTAGATATCTTTTTCATAATACCTTCTTCTTGTCATGTTTACCGCCGTCACCGGTAGCAACTGGTTGTGGCAGTGGTGGTGGTGGTGCACGCGAAGAGGAGGAGACTGAAGCCGTACGAGGCTTGCCGGAGGTTTCCACGGCAACCGGTCTGCCGTCTGTCGTATCCACGGAGACGGTGTTTGTCGTTGTCGGGGGAGGGAGAGAGTCCTGGGAGAGATCCGCGTAGTCTGCTGACTCTGGACCTGCAACAAGTTACCATGTACATACCTCAAGGAAGGTGGAACCCTTAATGAGGACGCTAATGGGATTGTTTCTGTTTTTGTGAGGTGTTCAGGTGTGAAAGAGTGAATACTGTTCTTAGTTCTTAGAGAAGGGGCTCCATGTAATAGAGGTGTCCTCACTAGATGGGGGTGCTTAGACAATGGGGTTCTGTAATAGAGAGGTGTCCTCATTAGATGGGGGTGCTTAGACAATGGGGTTCTGTAATAGAGAGGTGTCCTCATTAGATGGGGGTGCTTAGAGAAGGGCTCCATGTAATAGAGAGGTGTCCTCATTAGATGGGGGTGCTTAGAGAAGGGCTCCATGTAATAGAGAGGTGTCCTCATTAGATGGGGGTGCTTAGAGATGGGGTTCTGTACTAGAGAGGTGTCCTCATTAGATGGGGGTGCTTAGAGAGATGGGGTTCTGTACTAGAGAGGTGTCCTCGTTAGATGGGGTGCTTAAGATGGGGTTCTGTACTAGAGAGGTGTCCTCATTGATGGGGTGCTTAGAGATGGGTTCTGTACTAGAGAGGTGTCCTCATTAGATGGGGGTGCTTACGAGATGGGTTCTGTACTAGAGAGGTGTCCTCGTTAGATGGGGGTGCTTAGAGATGGGGTCTGTACTAGAGAGGTGTCCTCATTAGATGGGGGTGCTTAGAGATGGGGTTCTGTAATAGAGAGGTGTCCTCATTAGATGGGGGTGCTATAGATTGGGTTCTGTAATCGAGAGGTGTCCTCATTAGATGGGGGTGCTTAAGAAGGGCTCCATGTATAGAGAGGTGTTCCTCATTAGATGGGGTGCTAGAGATGGGGTTCTGTACTAGAGGTGTCCTCATTGATGGGGTGCTTAGAGATGGGGTTCTGTACTAGAGAGGTGTCCTCGTTAGATGGGGGTGCTTAGAGATGGGGTTCTGTACTAGAGAGGTGTCCTCATTAGATGGGGGTGCTTAGAGATGGGGTTCTGTACTAGAGAGGTGTCCTCATTAGATGGGGGTGCTTAGAGATGGGGTTCTGTACTAGAGAGGTGTCCTCGTTAGATGGGGTGCTTAGAGATGGGGTCTGTACTAGAGCAGAGGTGTCCTCATTAGATGGGGGTGCTTAGACATGGGGTTCTGTAATAGAGAGGTGTCCTCATTAGATGGGGGTGCTTAGAGAAGGGCTCCATGTAATAGAGAGGTGTCCTCATGAGATGGGGGTGCTTAGAGAAGGGCTCCATGTAATAGAGAGGTGTCCTCATTAGATGGGGGTGCTTAGAGATGGGGTTCTGTACTAGAGAGGTGTCCTCATTAGATGGGGGTGCTTAGAGATGGGGTTCTGTACTAGAGAGGTGTCCTCGTTAGATGGGGGTGCTTAGAGATGGGGTTCTGTACTAGAGAGGTGTCCTCATTAGATGGGGGTGCTTAGAGATGGGTTCTGTACTAGAGAGGTGTCCTCATTAGATGGGGGTGCTTAGAGATGGGGTTCTGTACTAGAGAGGTGTCCTCGTTAGATGGGGGTGCTTAGAGATGGGGTCTGTACTAGAGAGGTGTCCTCATTAGATGGGGGTGCTTAGAGATGGGGTTCTGTAATAGAGAGGTGTCCTCATTAGATGGGGGTGCTTAGAGATGGGGTTCCACTCTATGCATGCAACTCAACTGCATAATAATGATGCTCTCTCTTCTCTCTCACCTCAATATTAACTCCATCCCCACTGGTAGTCTCATACTGACGATAACCGCTCTCCTTTCCCTCTCTCGTCGCCTCCTCCCTCAACCACACTCGTCTGTGAGAGTTCAGCTGCTGACGATGCTCCGGTTGGCACTTTCCACGACACCGTCACCTCTCGGAATCCACCTGCTCTCTGGCTCAGATTGGGTTAATTCAAGTTTAACTCCTTCTCACTAGATTCTTGGTCCGTTGTTTTAACCCCATCGCCACCACCACCACCTTTTGTTGCATGATCCCGTCCTTCACTAGTTAACCCCTCAGATTCCGGCGACTGTTCAGCGTTCACCCACCACCAATAGGTGGCTGGGGATGGGCGGTAGCTTCTGTGGCTCGTCATGGTGACCGACGGGTACGGAACCTTCGCGAATGCTAGGATCGGTCGCCCCTCTGTGTATGAAGGAAGAGAGAAGAGAAATGGTTTTCATCACTATCGCAGGGTACAGTAAACATGCTTTCCTTCCTGTCATCTGTTCACAGTTATTGTCTCACATGCGCCCAACGCAAGAATACGTTTTCTCAGACTTTTTCGGTCGGTCACCATTAACAAATGGTTAGTACGTCGTTGTTTACTGATTTCACTTCCTTGGTGAACAGTAAAACATCCAGCACCTAATGTAGAACCTCCTTGGATCAACGACCTCCCCCCTTCATTTCCCTCCCATTTCCTCTCAATCATTGTTTGCCAGCTTCAGCTGTAGAACTGAGTCTTCCTCCCTTTACCCCACCGTTCTCCTTTCCCCGCCGTCTCCCTTTACCCCCGCCGTTCATCCCTTTACCCTCGCCTTTCTCACTATTACCCCGCGTTCTCCACTTTACCCGCTGTTCTGCACTTTACCCCCGTTCTCCCTTACCCCACCGTTCTCCCTTTACCCCACCGTTCTCCCTTTACCCCACCGTTCTCCCTTTACCCTGCCGTTTCTCACTTTACCCCACCGTTCTCACTTTACCCCACCGTTCTCCCTTTACCCCACCGTTCTCCCTTTACCCACCGTTCTCACTTTACCCCGCCGTTCTCCCTTTACCCACCGTTCTCCTTCTCGTTTCCTTTACCCACCGTTCTCCCTTTACCCCACCGTTCTCCCCTTTACCCCGTACCCCCGTTCTCACTTTACCCCACCGTTTCTCCCTTTTACCCCCGTTCTCCCTTTACCCCACCGTTTCTCACTTTACCCGCCGTTCTCCTTACCCCACCGTTCTCCCTTTACCCACTTTCTCACTTTACCTCGCGTTCTCCCTTTACCCACCGTTCTCCCTTTACCCCACCGTTCTCCCTTACCACCGTTCTCCCTTACCCCCCGTTTCCCTACCCCACCGTTCTCTTTACCCGCCGTTTCCCTTCTACCCCACCGTTCTCCCTTTACCCCGCCGTTCTCCTTTACCCCACCGTTCTCCCTTTACCCCACCGTTCTCCCTTTACCCCGCCGTTCTCCCTTTACCCCGCCTTCTCCCTTTACCCACCGTTCTCCTTTACCCCCCGTTTCTCCCTTTTATACCCACGTCTCCTTACCCACCGTTCTCCCTACCCCACCTTCTCCTTTACCCCGCCGTTCTCACCTTACCCCCCTTCTCCCTACCCCGCCGTCATCTTTACCCCGCCGTCTCCTTTACCCCACCGTTCTCCTTTACCCCACCGTTCTCCCTTTACCCCGCCGTTCTCCCTTTACCCCACCGTTCTCCCTTTACCCCACCGTTCTCCCTTTACCCCACCGTTCTCCCTTTACCCCGCCGTCCCCTTTACCCCACCGTCTCCCCTACCCCGCCTTTTTTGTTTTATTTGTCGATTTTATTTTTGTTTTGTTGTTTTTATCATCATGTCTTTCTATTAATCTTTTTGTAGTTTTATCAACTGTGTGAAATCCACCTCCTCCTCCACCTACCTCCTATCCTCATGAGGACTGACTGTGATGTTTGAGATCATGAAATCCTACGGCCATCTCTTCCAGCCCTCCTGGTGGGGGGATCTCTCCAACGTGGTGTTCAGGAGTATTGTGACATACACTGAACTGCCCGAGTATCGTGATATTTATTGTATTTTGTTTTATACTCTTTTACTTTATAGTATATTTATCTTTTAGTTTATTTGTTTTATTGGTAACATTATTGCTCTGCTAGTGAATGTTTCTGTTCTAGAAAATTGACTCTTAGTTTATACATACATTGTTTTATTGTGCTGGGTTGACAATATGTCGCATTGCCCTGTTGTGCCTTGCCGCGTTGCCGCGTCACGAGGATAGAATCCTTTATTATCTTCGCGGCAGGACGCGACGTGGCAATGCGGCACAATATTGTGAACCTCGCCTTAGAGTTATATTGTGTAGTGTGTACTTCGACCTGTTTCTGTAGTTTGTATAGTTTAACCCTTAGAAAGCCACGGGCACTATGCCCAGAGCCTCCATAGTCCATAAGAATTTATATGGGGCTATAATACTAGGCGTTAATATTTTATCAATTTCTGCTTATTTAAGGAGATACCCGTGGTGTCCAAAGGGTTATTAATTAATCTTCTCTCCATAGAAAACGGAATGGATGACGACCACTTGTAACCACGCCCTGTACGCCATGATGGACGTCTTCACGCAGTATTTCGATACTCTCAGTCCACTGCTGTTGGACGACGTGTTGGCTCAACTCCTGTGGTGTGTTCAGCAAGGTATGTCTCAACAACTTGGTAGCGAGGTAGAAAGGCAAGGCAAGGCAAGGCAAACAAGTCAACTACACCCAGGACAGCTCTTTAGTTTAGAAGAGCTGCCCTGGGTGGGATTCGAACCCACGACACTCTGCAGTCTAGGCGAGCGCTCTACCAACTGAGCTACCAGGGTAACTCAGCTGGTAGGGGTTCGAATCTACAACACAAGGCATGTACAACATGTATGTACATGTCATAGGGAATGAATGGGAATGTAATGTGTTCAGATACCAACGAAAGGACAGACATAGTGACCTGTGGTATGTGTAAATTTCGGCGGTGCTAACTGGCTTAACGTGGCATGTGTGGGGTTTACTAGCAACTCAGTCCACGGTAGCAGAGAGATTATTATAGTAAACATGTGAATGTGTGGGGTTGACTGTTGTAGAAGCATGTTTCATACTTTGCAGCTTCCAGGATCAAAACAGTAGCAGTAGAACACCTTTTACTTTCACTGACAACCACAATAGACAACAACTGAATAAGACACTCTTTCTTTCATGAGTTAGTGCAGCAACAACTGAATAGCAGCTCTTTCTCCCTCTCTCTCCCTCCTTCCCTCCCTCCTCTCCTTCTCCTCCCTCCCTCCCCCAGACAACGAGCAGCTGGCCAGATCTGGGACCAACTGTCTGGAGAACCTGTCGCTGGCAGTGGGTCAGACAGTCTCCCCCGACACCTGGGACAAGATGGTCCAGTGTATGAGAGACATCTTCACTGCCTCCATTCCTCACCAGGTTAGCCATGTGTGTGTCCTCTAATGAATTGTAGATTAGATGTGACGGGCACTGCACATACCATAATGTTCTACGTGATTTTCTAAATTGAATATGCGTACACGTGCAAAGAATTGAACTAACCTCCTGTTTGTTTCTACAGCTGTTGTCGTGGCAACCAGACGAGAGTCTGCGGCGGTCGTACTCCACGTTGTCGGTCGGGTCCGAGAGGAGTTCAGTCATCTCCGAGAACCCTTCAACCCTTCCTCCTGAGGTGAGGGATCTAGCACTGCGGACTGACACACATGATGGTAGTGAGAACAGTGGGGTAATGGGAGAACGGCGGGGTAAAGGGAGAACGGCAGGGTAAAGGGAGAACGGCGGGGTAAAGGGAGAACGGCAGGGTAAATGAGAACGGTGGTGTTGTTTGTTGGTTTTGTCTATTAAAGGGATACTTTGTTGGGGAAAGAGATACTGTGTGGGTGTATTATATGGTATTGATGAACGGCGGTGTATAAGTGAGTAACTCGGTTTGTTCTTCTCTTTGTTTTTTTTCTTTCTATTTTTGTCTTGTTTATGATTGTAAAGGTTGTAGATACTTGGTGGGTTTGTTGTAAAGGAGAAGTGGGGTATAAGTGGAACGGCGGAAAGGTTTTTTTTTTCGAACGGCGGTGGTTAAAAGTTTGAGAACTCGGGTTAAAAGGGGATGTGGAACGTTGGGTAAAGGTCTTTTTGTGTTCTGCCTTATTTCGTGCTACTCCTTCTTTCCCTGCCTGTTTCATAACTGGTTTTTCCTACTTTTAGGCCCCGCCGTTCTTCGACGTTTACTCCCTCACTTCGTCGTTCCCGTAAAAGTTTACCCCTCCCGAGGATTCGACCCCTTTGGTACTTCCCCATCCGTTTCTCACTTGTTGTACCCGGCATGTCTTCCTCTTACTTGGTACTCCCGTTTCTTCCACCGTTCTCTTCTCCTACCTTCTTCTCCCACCTTGTGTTTTGTTGCTCACTTTACCTTCGCCTGTTCTCCCTCTTTTATTCGCCTACCTTGGTTCTCCCTACCCTCCACCGTTCTTCCTCTTTATTCCCACCGTTCTCCCTTTATTCGGCGCCCGCCGTTCTCCCCTTGTACCCCACCGGTCGTCTCTGACCCGTCTCTGTATCTCCCATTTACTCCCACCGTTCTCGCCTTTTTAGATACTTCCCGCCGATTGCTCCCTTACGCCCGTCACGTGCCATTACCCCACTCGTTTCCCTTGAACTCCCACCGTGTCTCCCGGCTGTTTACCCCGCCGTTCGTCCCTTTTCACTTATCCAATCCGGTTCATCTTTTGCGCCTGTGTTTGATCTCCCGACTTTCTTAGCGTGTTCTCCTCTGTAGACGTCCAACTCGTTTTTCATTTTTATCCCTCCGCTGTTTACCTCCACTCAGCTTTTCTTTCCCCTTTGGACGCCCTACTGCTAGTCTTCCACATTCTTTTGAGCCGCCCGCCTGTTCCTCCACTTTTAACCCCGCGTTTTTTTGTAGAAGATTTATTTCTGGTTGGTTTTGTTAATGTTAGAACGGCGGTGGTAAAGGGAGAATCGTGCGGGTAAATTGTAGTTTTGTGAGAACGGCTGGGTAAAGTTTATGACGTGGGGTAAATGTGGTGAGAATTCTCCCGCGTGTTTATCCTTCGCCGCGTTTCTCACTGGTAAAGTAGCGTCTTCCCGCAGACTCGGTGGGGTATAAGGCGATTCTCCTTAGTCTTATATCTTCTTTCTCCCACCGTTCTAACCTTTCTACAGATTCCCCATCCTGTCTTTCCCTTTACTGTGGATACACCCAGGCCGTTCTCTTCTCTTTACCCACCGGTTCTCGCCTAATTACGCGTGCGGGGAAAGGATACCACAGCGCAGGGGTGGAAAGTTTCGAGAACCCGTGCGTTTGGTAAAGGGACGATACCGCTGGCAGCTAGGGTGAGAACTTCGTCGGCGCGCGTACCCCCACCGTTTTCTTCCCTTACGTCAAAAGTTAGCACAACCGTGGTTGTTTCATACACGGTTGTTCACCTCGTCCGGTTTGGTTTTTCTCCTCCCTTTTTTTTTTATCGACGACCTTATCCGTTTTCTCCCTGGTTTTACCCACGTTGCTCCCTGGTTTACCCCACCTGTTGTTTCTCGTCTTTTTACTTTTTCCCATCGTCTCCTCTTTTCACTCCCGTCGCGTTTGTCTCTTCTCTTTTTCTACTCCCACGCGTTCTCCCCTGTTATTACCCCATTCGTGTGTCTCCCTTTCTTATTGTATCCGACCACGCTGTTTTGGTCTTGACTGTTTTTACCGCCGCGGTTCTCCTCTTTATGTCCTTATTTTCTCTCATCGTTCTCTCCTTTACCCCATCCCTGTTCTTCAACTTTATTCTCCTCGCCGCTCCCTTACCCACCGTTTCTCCCCTTTACCTCACCCGTTCTCCCTTTATCGCCACGGTGGTATATCTCCCTTTACCCGCCGGTTCTCCTTACGAACGACCAGGCCTGGTTGCTGGCTCTTTTACCGTCCACACCGCTGTTCTCCCTTTACCCACCTTCTCCTTTACCCCGCCGTTCCCCTTTACCCACCGTTCTTCTCTTTACCCCCGCCGTTCTCCCTTTACCCCCTTCATCACTTTACCCCACCGTTCTCCTTTACCCCCACCGTTCTCCCTTTTACCCCTTCCTCTCCTTTACCCCGCCGTTCTCACGTTACCCTCGCCTTTCTTCCCTTTACTTCCCCGTCCGTCTTCACTCTATTACCCACCGTTCTCCCTTTACCCCACCGTTCTCCCTTTACCCCACCGTTCTCCCTTTACCCCACCGTTCTCCCTTTACCCCACCGTTCTCCCTTTACCCCACCGTTCTCCCTTTACCCCACCGTTCTCCCTTTACCCCGCCGTTCTCACTTTACCCCGCCGTTTTCCCGTTTACCCCCCGCCGGTTCCTCACTTTACCCCGCCGTTCTCCCATTACCCACTTTTGTCCACTACCCATTCATGTGTGTACAGTCCGCTAGTGCTAGATCCCCCTCACCTCAGGCAGAAGGGTGAGGTTCTCGGAGATGGGATCTGAACTCCTTCTCGGACTTCCGACCGTACAATGTGGAGTAAGACCGCTCCGCAGACTCTCGTCTGGTTGGTCCACGACAACAGCTGTAGTAAACAAACAGAGGTTTAGTTCAAATTCTTTGCACGTGTACGCATTTTATCCAATTTAGAAATACGTAGAACATTATGTATGTGCTCATTGCCCGTCGACACTATATCTACAATTCATTAGAGGTAACACACACTATGGCATCCTGGTGAGTATGGAGGCAGTGATAGAATGTCTCTCATACACTGGTACCATCTTTGTCCCAGGTGTCGGGGGAGACGGTCTTGACCCACTGTCCAGAGACGGATTCTTCTACGATCAGTGCGTCCGCAAAGTTTCCACGACTGTCGTCGGCCAGTCTTGACATCGTGTGCTCTAGGCTTCCCTCGTGCAGTCGTGCTACGTACTCGTGCTAGACAAGCCTGCAGAGGAGGGAGGGAAGGAGGGAGGATGAGAAGAGCTGCCTATTCCGTTTTGCCTGCACTATCATCATTGAACAGTCAAATGCTCTAGTCGTCTTCTCTCAGCTTCGCTCGTCTATTGTTCCGTCGCCTCTGCTTGTCATGCATACTGCGTCTATCATCTAAGCTGCGTCGTTCTCTACTGCCTTCTGCGTGCTCTCTGGGATTTCCTGGCGCCTCAGATGCTCTCTCACGTGTACTTGCCTCATTCTGTCTCTGCTCCTACTCCCCCAGACCCAATGTCAGACCCTGTAGCATCATGTGTCACAGAAGACAATGATTCTGTACGTAGTATTATCCTCTGCTCTGCGACCGTCCGGATGGACTGCATTGTCATTGTGCTTAGTAAACCCCACAACCTGCCACTTACCAACACGAGTTATCACCTCGACCGTGTGTTACACACATTACCAACAGTATGTATGCCGGAGCTAATGTCGACTGACGTTTCGCTCCTTAGGGAATATACTGATCACTCATCTATGATACTGTATCCGTTGCTGGCAGTTTCTATTCTCCACATTTATGACTATTGTATCTTAACATGTCTGTATGTGATGCCTTGTGCTTGTAGATATAGTACGAATACCTCCCTACCAAGCTTGAGTTACCCTGGTAGCTCAGGTTGGTAGAAGTTGTGGTGCGTCGCCATAGACTGCAGAGTTGTCGTGGGTTGAATAGCCCTAGCACGAGGAGACAAGTGGCTTTCTAGAAGACTAAAGAACGACTGTGTCCTGGCGTTAGTTGACTCTATACGTATGGTGCGCTCTGACCTAGCCTATCGTCACGCTCACCTCGCTACAAGTATGTTGTAGCACGTACGCTTTTCGCACTGTAACACTAGCACAGAGTACAGCGCTCAATCACGCGATCGCTAGAGCCTAACTTTTGCGCATGCTCTGGAATGTACGTGAGTAGTTAATCGATATTATTTCTATGCGTCGACAATGCATGCGTCATGTATCGAGCTAGTGAACAGGTGCAGTTACGTGTTACTGAAGGCACGTGAGCGTCAATCTCGCGTAGATTCCGATACTTATCTACTAAGTCATTCGACGAGACGACATCTAATGTCAAATATAGCCTATTGTACACTCACGAGAGCAGGCTATCGCCTCTTACAGAATACCCACAGCGCATAATCTTTGATATACCCTCTTAATATAGGCGCTCAGTATCTTATGGTAGACCCGCATCAGGTGTAACAGTTCTCTATAGCTGTGAACTACTATGGAGGCTCCGTGGTGATCAGTAGATGACACGTGGCTTGCTAAGCGGTCTAATTTATTCCAGTCATTATGACACTAATTGAAAGCGACTTACGCTTCAGGGAAAAGTTACACACTGACACAACAATAGTCACATCGTACGCACCGGCGAGCGGCTTGTCCACAGACTAGGTGTGCGCGCACGTACTTTCCACGGTCGGTCAGCCGCCGAAAGATAAATAAAGGATTCTATCCTCAGTGCGCGACGCCATGTTTCTTTTCCGGGACCATGTGAGCATGGCAGAGAGATTATGCTAATAGCAGAAGGCATGAGCTCTTGCCGCGTACTAATTCACATTTACGCAAAGCAATGGTACTAATATAGGTAGCATAACCACATGCACAAATGTAGAATGAATCAAATATATACAAGATAAATAACACTTTCCAGACAGTCTCATATTATTCTAGTAGCAGACATACATTCCCTATATCAATACACTGCAGATCCAATGCTATCCGTCAGCGATTAGCCTTCGGCCAGTTTCATGTTGTCAAATATATCTGAACACCACGTTGAGAGATCCCCCACCAGGAGGCGGAGAGATGGCGTAGGATTTCATGCTCTCACATCCAGCAGTCAGTCCTCTGAGGGATGGAGGGTGGTGGAGGAGGAGGAGGTGAAGTTCACGCAGTGAAGAGAGAGATATGAGACATAGGTAGAAGTTCTTTAACAAAGTTTTAAAATCGGTGAACATTTCTGGTATATATAGCTATTGCAACACTTTCCCATGTGGAATGTCTTACTACGAATTTGTCACTATGGATGAATGCAACAGTAGTGCTGTGAACCGACCAGTATAACTGCATGCGTGCCATACGATAAGGGTTAGTAGTAGTTCTAAACTACCAGGACGATGTGACCATGCTGTCAATTACTGAGATATACTCAGAGAAAACAATAACAGCATTAATAAGTGGTGACCGCAACTGTCGGTCCACCTAATTATTCTGTTTGTGTGCCGAGAAGAAGAATCCAGGACAATCTTAGGTTGACCGCAACTGTCATAATTACTGTGGTTGGGGAGAACCAGAATCTGTGTCCCACCGTGTTCCTACCGCGCAACTACTTCAGGACGATATACTGTGTCTCACACTTTTCTGAGTTAGGAGACATAACCAGAACTCGAAAACATCGGTTTAAAAAGCGTCGCGCACTCTGTTATGTCCAGCTCAATTCACTATCGCAGACCCGATCTTGCATTGTCAAGCCATACTGTCTCTTACACGTAGACCTCTAGGGACGTGAGGGTCTCACCTTGTTCGGCACTAGAAATCTAGGCACAGGACGAAAGTTCGTAGTTAGGGCGGTCTAGGGGTCCTTATAGCCGCGTCTGATATAGCTTTAAACACATAAATACCACTCCTTTTCTCCTCTCCTTTTTCCTTGTTTTTTTTTTTTTTTTTTT